AGGCATGGCATAGTCAGTCAACATGTCCTTATGTTTGCTTTTATTCTCATTGAACACTTTTTTAACAGCTCTTCCGCCCCTAACGCTTACATTCCCCCAGCACCTTATTATCCTCCTTCTGCTCATACTCCTGGGCATGCTCATATTATACCGCCCCAGCAACGCCAAGAGCCACAACAAAGGAAGCGTCCCAAGTATACAAGAAGCAAGACTGGCTGTATGACATGTCGAGTCAAAAAAATCAAGGTATGCCACTCCATATACTTCAACTCGAACATGATATTCATCCAACTCAGTGTGACGAGGCGAAACCTAATTGCATGCGATGTACTCATGGGCAGCGAGACGTGCGCCTCGTCTTGCAATCTGCAAAAAAAAAATTAACTAACAGTCGCTCAGTGCACATGGCCAGAAGGTGTTCCCACCCGCAAGAAATCAACATCTCGGAAAGATAGTGTCGACGGGCGCCCATCCACTGCCGACTCATCGGGACTGTCAGAGACTTCAACACCTCCTACTCGGGACAGTACACCTGCGAAAGCTCGCGTATCTAGCGATTACAACCAACCTCCGATGTCACGTCGGCATAGGCATGTGCATCTTTTATTATACGTTTTATTTACCGACCAAAACCTGTGTTTCAGTGATCTTTTTGCTCCCGTACCTCAAGTGAAATACGAGGAAGACCCTCATCTCAGGCTCGGGCCAGAACCCGATGCTGCGCGACGTCAGCTGTGAGTCTGGAAGTTCTTTTTAATTTCGTTCTATCGTAACAAATATACAGGGCTCCGCAAGGTTACCCCGTGCATCCAAATCAGAATTCCAATGTTTTATCAATGATATCCGAGATGCAGCCATACCCTCCTCATCGATACGACTCTGCGTACGCTACCCCAGCCACTCAATTACATTCAGCAACTTCCTCACGACACATTCCCCCTCATCACTCTCAGCACCATGTTAATATGCGACCTATGAACCACCAACCACCCCCTCAGCATTGGAGCCAGCCTATGATGCCAGGTGTAAACCCCATGGATCCTTTTGTACGTATTCCGTGGATTGTTGTCCTTCCTGTGCTGAATGTTTGGTGTCTGGTTCAGTTCCCACACCCCCAGGAGAGGCATTTGGTGGCACATTCATCTAATGATCATCACCCTAGATACCCATAAGATTCATGTTTCCCTTTGATTTTTCTTAAAGATCCGTCATGACATTGATATTTGAGCATCATTTTGGACATCCCCTCTAAGAATCTAGTTGTCGCTTCTAATTTCTGCTTGGTCTGGATCGGCCTCCAGGATCTGATCCTGCGACTGATGCGCTGTTCGGTGTTCTTGGTGTGATGCGACGAGGAGTCGAAGACTTGCCTAAATTAGCGCACTCATTTCCATGAATTCGAAGCTGGCACAGACTTGCATAACCCCGCAAGCTTTCAAATTTCAAGGTGTAGAGGCCAGAACTTCATTGGCAGCTTCCTCGCCGTGTCGTTGATAGACGGATGATGCCCCGTTAAATCGCTAAATCGTTCGATCGTCTTATGTCATTATCTCGGACAAAAAGCGAGTGTATATATATACATTTCCCTAATGTTGGATGAGAACCCTCGATGCGCCTTTGCCAAAGGACTGAATCAGTCGGGTTCAATGGTCGGAACTGAAGGCAACACCTGCTGCTGAGTTTTTGGCAGTGTATTATATTACAGGTAAGCCCCGCGGCAGCCTAGAATTGAACCCTTCCGCAGCCTGCATAGCCAGCAGCAGAGAAATGACCATTTTCCATGCTTCCTCAGATTGAGTGGTGGTATACCACTGTAATAATCTGCACAGCGTCGTGGAAATTCCAAGCGCAGACTCGATGAATCACGCACTCTTACATCCTCCGAACACATATTGGGGTGTCTCACGTGTTTGTTCCTGCTACTTAGCCCGAGTATGTTTTCGGTCGTCGCCCACGTTTGAGGGTCATTGTATTTTACCTTTTGCACAGTTGATCTCGTTCATTTCCCGCGCCCTACTAGTACGTGGATCCCACAAGTTGATGAGGGCACTAAATCTTCTGTGCGGAATACATCCATGAATTACCTCATTTACCAGAACGCTGGAGGAACTTGTATTCTCTCGTATTCCACAGTGGGCCCAGAGGCAATAGTGCGTATCCAGTACCTTTTAAACACATGGGAACATCCTCGTGTAACTAATTCCGAACCTGCATCGCGGCGTTTTAGAAGTGTTTCCGACCGATTGGCACCGGTGCAGTTCTGCTGTGACCCATTACGGACTTATGTTGGAATGTGGATAAGCTGGAAACAGTCGTATAGTTTTCGAATGTTCACTTTGTCACAAGGAAAGACAAACACTCAGGTATGATAAAAGCACAGTTGACCTTTCATAACAAACCATCGCAGGATCCATGTGCGCACCATCGATTTATCGAGCTAGCGCAAAAGCTCGGAAAAGTTAAAGGCATATTGCACCTTACTCTCAGATGAATAATGCCCCTCAGGTGAGTGCATAAATTCGATTATCAAAAGGATGATATAATGAATTCTAGCATCGTTCTGGAAGCGATTAGATCAAGGTTTACTAGGAGCGAATTGACGTATTATGATAGCCCTGAAAACTGAATGTGCTGAGCTTGTGACGCGGCAATGACGCGGTTTGGTCACATCAAACCACGAAATTCCTGCTACAGGGGAATACCTGAGCGTTGGTAAGTTTGTTCGCATTGTCTCCAGCTGTCTCCCTGAGAGCCACATTTCTGGTCAGATGGCTGTAATATGATAACGAAATTATGCACGCTGGCTTGTGAGTCGCGTCAGAACACCTGATGGATGGTAAGTAACAGCCCTGAGGTTCGTGAACTTGATATTCATTCTTCAGGGTTTATGGTCATATTAAGTGAGCAAATTGTGTCATATTGACGTCTTCAACAGTGATTCAAGTAGCGTGTTTTTCATCACATCGTGTCTAGGGTGCTTTACAAGTTGCCCGCGGTGTGTGGCCCTAACTCCCGTACTTGCAACTGTTTTCGACTGGACTGTGTTCGAAGCATAACGACCCTGAAAATCTATGTGGTAAATTGCAAAATGATCAGGGTGTTCCCTGAACTCGAGGTTGAAAATGGAAATCAAAGCCACCATTAAATTGACTGATCCGGGCACACAAGAAAGTTCCATGCATGATAAACGAATAGGTGGCAAATGTTCTACAGAATTTATATTGCCCATGCCTAATCGGGGTGGAAAAAGGCGCAATCTGCGCCAGTCCGAAAAGGCATGCGAGCGCGCGTCGGGCAACGTGCCCAATTCTGTAAAATTACAAGCTTTGCACTGTAACGCCACGTTCCTGACGTTTTATAGTGCTTCAACAACGCGTTTTAGGGTACACTTGTCGTGAAAACCGAATCGGGTGAGCAAAATGTACACATCGATATCAACATGATACTTGAGTGACCTGATCATTCGCAGCTAGCACATCAGATGCATCAACCTCGGCTACAGACCAACATAGACAAACGATTGGTGTTACTTCCTGTTATGAGTCACAATCAATAGAACTTTGATGTGATTTCTGAGACTTGCCCGCCCGGAAGTTACACCATCATGGTAGAAGTAAGATGATGTTGCTCTCGCCGTCGTGTGACTGGCTGGTGTATCTGGAAGCGTGTATGTTGGTCTGATGGTCACTTGAGGCTTCGATGAGTGCAACAGGTGTACTACAATCAAGCCGAGGCTGCGTTGCACGAGGAGAGCGTGACGGAGCGCTTCAAGTTGCGACAACTATCGCAGCTAATAAGGTTTTCCGAGGGGCTCAATATGAGATATGCGATGTGTATGTCGAAGGAGTCTATAGAACTGTAGGCTGGCCGCGAAGGTCACTCTCAAGCCAACCTAATTAGTGCATATGGCGAGCACCCAGTGTGGTTGGCAGTTCAAAAGGGTCTGGAATGTTTCTACGTGACAGAGGGCAGTACCAAGTTGTCCTAATTAGGATGGCATGTTCGCGACGTCGGACCTCGACCCTACATAACGAGGAACTTATTGAATATCAGGATGAGCACAACGTCATCCCCAATGGCGCAGCTTTAGCTGTTACTGCCAACGAGGCAGCGGTGGGGTATCAGCAGTAGACGGCGAGGCCGACAAAGACACCGAGAATACCTGTGACAGCCTTCAGGTTCGTTTTGTCTCAATGTTTGTCGTAAACCATGCCCATCTGATTTGTCTCCTTTTTTCATAGAGATTTCGTGTTGAGCCCTGAACTTCTGAGAGACATCATAGACGGTGGCTGGGACTGGCCGTAAGTAAATGCGTGCTTTAGTGTGATGTTCTCGACTCACTGGGCTCCTTTTTTCAACAGTCCAACACGAATGTAACGCTCGGGAAGGGACGGCCACGGCCAGTCATGGCACGGTAAGATAGCAATTTTAATTTTTGGTATCCTAATTACTAAGACAGTGACATGTGGAATAGAGGAATGATTGAGAAGTTGTCAAAGTGATTTGGGAAAGGCTTCTTTGATGGTCACCAACTCTTCGGGGCACACTGCAAGGGGTGTGATGGACTAGCATATCTGGGTTCAGAAGGTTTCTCAACGCAGCTCAATTGCCCGCATACAACTTCGTTGCGTAGTGCTTCGCCAAATTGGTAAAACTTTGCTTGCATTGCTGGTGGCATCAACTTATCTGAAGGAGACAAACTTGGTTTGCAGAACTCTCAACTATCGTGGCGCTCGACGCGGAAAAAAAAACTGATGGATCAAAATATTGAGGCACAGTAAGTATCGCCAGTGAACACAGAGCCTACTAGTACAGAAGCAATGACTATCTGTTTAGTCGTCAACGGGAACCCCAAGTGGCTCGCCAGTAAACTCCAGACCTATTCCCAGCACCCCCGGGTTGATATTGACCTAGTCTTTCGAATCACCACTGTTTGGAGTTCTAACCCGGAGTGGGCATGAGTGTAGGGTTAGAGTCGGAATAAGGACTTCGGACAGTGGTCACTGTGCGGCAGCACGTGACTTCTGTTCTCCGCCCACCACACGGCGCCCAGGCTGTGACACCCCAGCAAGCTCTGGCGTCATGCCTGCAGCCTGCTGCTTTTGGATTTCCTTTTCTGCCATAAACTCTAGTGAGCTCTGATGGCTCGGATTCTTGTGTGCATCTGCATGCAATGAAGGCAAGTCCGGCAGGGAAGCTGGCCATGAGTAGAGAGCACTGTTCTCTCAACTCTACTCGTGTAGGAAGTTCACTGTTGTGAACTCTCGTCAGGTTTCTCACCAGACAACCTGATAAGGGGAGGACTCAGGAATCATCCACTCAGTCGCCACGACACCTTCTGCCAGTGACGAGCAAAAGCATCGTTTTGTCAACACCTGCTGTCGTGCACATGTGAATTCACGCACTTTCGTGGATGCCTGCACTGATGCAGATGCATGTATCCGGATCATCCGCATTCATTGACGCAGATACCCGCACTGACGCGGATGCCTGCACTCGTGCTCACGCGGACGCTTTCTTTCTACTTTCGTTGCAAACTATCTCCTCATCTAGCTTCACCTCGATGCATCGCTTTGCAGCTCCTACGATTCGGGGATCCGAGTTTCACTTCGCTGTGTCGTGTTCACTCCTATTGGTGTGGGAGTCGCAGCTCACCTCGGCTCACTTTTGCGCGGGTCGGGGCCACTATCGGGCTCGGCTTGCCCATTCCCGGCTTTCGTCCGAAAAAACACTATCTGTTTGCAATCAAGCATACGTTTTTCCCCCTTGTTTTCACCACTTACACAACTGCACAAGAGCGCCCACAAAGTCCCCCACATCAGGATCCTATAACATGCATACTATGACCGCCGTGGCCTGGCGATCATGGTGAATCGGACACTGGTGATTTTACTGAGCTTGCGCTTGACCGCTTCTTCAAAGTTGTTTACTGATATTTCAATCGTAACAGTACTATGCTCTCGCACCGAGTCCCGACTCCAGCGACTTCCCTTAGGACCAGTTATGTCCCAACATAGATTTCCTTTTGCGTTTTTATCATGATGGTTGTTAGCTGTTTGAAACACTGCAGGACGACGAAGCTATTCGGGTTGCCGCGGTCTACTATCTCCGAATAAGATAACGTTTCTCAGTCGTTCCCTTCATCCTGTCGTTCTCGTACCCATCGACGATCTCCCACAACGCACTAGCAAGCTCTTTCGTGTCATCGCTCTCCAGGTCCATGCTCATAAGCACACCACCAGTCTTTGGCGTCCTTGCAGTTTGCTCCACAAACGTGGCATACCCCGTAAGCGGTATGACGAATGGAATAGG